TATCTTGAAAAATTAAATCCTGAACTATCTTCAAACAAATAATTGTATGAGAGTTAAAGAATCTCTATCTTTAGACAACCCCAATTTGTCTTCAAAGATAAATAATTAACATTTAAATAGCGTGTTATTTGCTATAGACTGATTGACAAATAGAACATAGAATAATCGAAATGCTAACTATGTAGTAGATATTAGAACTGAAATTGAAATGACATAGCTAAAATATTCTTCGAGTTAAAGCTTAGTAATTTTCAATATTGAGATTTTTTTTTGTATTAGCAATGGCGAAATAGTATTTTTGCAATACCAATCCTTAAAAATCTTTTAGAGGCTTGCTCCTCCTCAAAAAGAATTTTTTTAGGGGCTTAGGTAAATTTACAGGTCAATTGTGTATTGTCATTGTGTGTCCACTTAATGTGGTATGTTGCAAGGATAGAGTGTTTTGAATTTTAACAAATAGCAAATGGAAATGTTCATTTATCTCTCTATAAGTCATTGAACATCTGTTTATATTTTTATAAGGTAAAGTAATTTACCTAATGAAGATAAGGAAAAAAATTCAGTATCCAAGTGGTTACCAAAAAGTAGAGAACCTGAAAATAATTGAACCTCCTTTTTGCTGGCTTATCTTTCTATGTCTTTTGGAAATCATGCTTATATTATGAAAGCTAAGTCAATATTATAAGCTAGCTGATATTTTCAACAATGTAATTCCTTTTGTTTCTTTCAAATTAAAGACATTTTTTTTCTAACTCAATATTTAGTAATTGAATGCACATTGTATAAGACTTGCTGAAATTTTGAACAAATTATAACATTATTTCAAAACAATGAATATGAGATAAATTTTTTTCTTTACCTAATTTATATAATTTGTAGGGTCAGATTGTTGTGTTGTCAGGTTGTGGTACACCAATCTTTCAAGGTTTTGATTTTTTAGTGTGGGTCGCTTCAGTTGTCGGATTGGGACCATCAATTTGTTAGGGTGTTGCCCTGATTTTCTTTCCTTATTTGAAGTTTATTTTTTCCTAAAAGAAAAACCAAAGTATTACTATAAATACTTTAATTTTTCCTGAAAGAAAAATATAATTTTCTTTCATATTTGGTTTATTTTTTCCTTAGAGGAAAGTTTGGAGATCTATAAATTGAAGATTCCTATTCTCGTAGTATAACACAATAGAATTGAGTCATCGTCAGACACTTAAAGTTGTCTATGGTAATTATGCAGACAACTTTAAGTGTATGTCGATGACTTAAGCCGAATCCACAATGTAGTCATTAAAGAATTTTGTTTATGTGGAGATTTTCTCTCTACAGTTTTAAGGATTTTTATTAATTTTTTTTTAATTATGTAGGCCAATTGGTCATATCATATAATAATATTATGTCTTTTAATATAGTTTTTTTTGTCATCTAATTTATTATTATATGATTTGCAATTGTAAGCTTCCGCATGACGCCCTAATCACTTTCGAACCCAGCTAAGAACTAATAAAAATCCTTAAAACTGTAGAGAGAAAATCTCCACATAAACAAAACTCTTTAATGACTACATTGTGGATTTTATTGTGTTATGCTATGAGAATAGGGATCTTCAATTTATAGATATCCAAACTTTTCATCTAAGGAAAGAATAAACCAAATATGGAAGAAAAATAATTTTTATTTTTGGAAAAGTTAAAACATTTATGGTAATACTTTGATTTTTCTTTAAGGAAAAAATAAACTTCAACTAAGGAAAGAAAATCATGGTAAAACCCTAACAAATCTCCCCTTTTGACTGGATTTTCTTGACAAAACTTGATCAACCTTCTTCACATGCATGTGATCTTCGTTCTTCACATAGTCTTCATCACTACTGTTTGTCATGGTTAAAAATAAAATTTAAAATATATGGGTTAAAAATGATTTAAAAATATTTTATTTTTATTTTCAAAAATGTAGCAACAGGAATGTTGAAAATATGGTTTTAACCTCTTCTCCACATGTAGCTGGACAAAAATCTTCATTATCATCAAATGTGTTGCAAATTGATTTGAAACCGCGCTGAACCTATCTTCAACCTCGTTCCATTGGATCATTGAACCATCTGCTCTGATACCACTTGTTGGGTTCGAAAATGATTAGGGCGTCACGCGGAAACTTATAATTACAAATCATATGATAATAAATTAGATGACAAAAACTATATTAAAAGACATAATATTATTTTATGAAATGACCAATTGGACTACATAATTAAAAAACTAATAAAAAAACTTTAAAACTGAAGAGAGAAAATCTCTCCATAAACAAAATTCTTTAATGACTACATTGTGGATTCTATTGTGTTATGCTATGAGAATAAGAATATTCAATTTATAGATCTCCAAACTTTTCCTCTAAGAAATAATAAACCAAATAGAAATTAACATCTTCGAAGTGAAAATGTTTGGAAGATGAAAGTGAACCATGAAAATGAAAGGGGAGAAGAAGAAAGTGAAAAAGTAAAGTAACTTTTCTTAAGGTGTAAGAAAAATTTCCACTTTATAAAATGTAAAAAAAACTTACACTTTACGAAGTGTAAAAAATAGTTTTGTTTTACAAGGTGTAAAAAATAGTTACGTTTTATATTAAAATATACACGTTATGAGACTAACGGAAAACGTTAGGAATATTGAATAAAACGGAATTTTTTCTTACACTAAGCCTATTTTAGTTACTTACTAGAATAGTGGCTTATTTTGGTCACTTTTATTTTTTTGTGGTTTATTTAGGTTCCGGACTGTTGATTATGGAGTGAAAATAATTTTTGATAAATGGATGAATAATGCAATAACATGCGATTTTTTTTATTAAAGCAGTCCAAGGAAAATATCATTAAACTATATCTTTAGGATAAGACTGATAAAACAACCCAATTTGAAAAAGATATCGAGCTAAAAATTGTCTTGACCAACATTATGCCGATTAGGACCATCTAACTCTAATGACCTGAGAGTGGATGTCAAATCATAGATTAACAAAATAATGATGAGATAAGCTTTAATACTGATTTATCATAAAGAATGTTACAATTTTTATTGATACACATTTAAGGATATCTTGATTGAGTAGAGATCTTAAGGGTACAAAATTGACGAAGAATACTCTATAGGTTTCACTATAAGTAGTCATATAATTCTTTATAATATAGATTTTGCAATTTTGAGAAAAAAACTTCGTATTTACCATTACAATTTTGAGAAAATAATATTTACCATTACTAACGCTTGATTACAAAAAATTATATTTTTAAGCTCTTTATCTAATGTTGTCAATCATTTGCTTCATTGGTTCCAACGGTGGCAGCTGCGGAATCTGCTATTGGGTTAGCTATTTCCCTTTGTTCGGTGTCCGGGGAAGAGAAAGGAATCCAAATACTGTATTTGAGGTAGTTGTTCGAATTCCTTATGATATGCAACTAAAACAAGTTCTTGCTAATGGTAAAAAAGAGGGGTTGAACGTGACATTTCTCGTGTACCTATTATGGAAAGCGTTTGGACTCTGTCTCTTTTTCTTTCGTTCTTGTTCCAAGGCTGCGGCGCAAATTCATCTTCTAAATCTAATATATTCTTTTATTTGTTATTATGTTTTAATTTATCTATCATTCAATTGTTGTTATTTATGCCTTTATTATTTTATTATAAAATTAATTTAATTTATGCATCTCTAAATCACACTTAAAAATTCAACGGTGGCTAAGTTGATAACATTTAGGGCTTGCATGGAAGGACACCCTGGTTATTGGATTTGGTGTAATTAGGTGTAATTACACTGTCTGTTCTGTTTGGTTGGACATGTAATTACTTGATCAGCAGGTAATTTGTATAATTGGCAACGGGTAATTACACTCTACAATTCACATGCAGAGACTGTGAATTACTGGTAATTACATGGTGTAATTATCAGCTGATTGCTTTTTAATTTTTTATTTTTTTTTATTTTTATTTTTTTGTTTTAATTTTTTTTACTTCTATTATTATTTTAAGTTCTTTTTTTTTTTTATTATTCTAAAAGTTTATTTTTTATTTTATATTATTATATTTCATTTTCTTTTTGTTCTCAACCTTACTTTACGTGATTCTATGCAAAATTTTTTTCGTATTATCTATTTCTTTATGCCATGCTTATTTTCTCATCAGCATAATTTTATTAGTATTCTAATTTTTAAATTAAAATACAATTTATTGTTAAGTAAGGTTATAGACTTGCGTTTTTAAAAAAAAATAAAAAATCATATTTATGTATGCTATGTTGAAATTTTCTATAAGACTTAATTTTTTTGTTTTGAATTTATAACACATGTTATATTTCCAGTTTCATTTTTTTTAGTAATATTGAATTCACATTGCACGTCATTTTTTAATTAGACTTGATAAATTATCTTTTTGTCAAACATTTAATAATTTATGATATTTTATTTATATATTAATATTTTTATCAAACATGCATTTCACGATATTCATAGACTTCATACTTTTAGTTTTTATGATTTATTCAATTGAAATATATTAATTTGAAAAAAATATAAATCAATTATGTTTTCATAATATTAGTTAAAGAATATATGTTTATTAATTAATATATTTTCAAAAAAGAATATATATCTTAAATATTTAATTTAATGTCATTTATAAAGTTTCTTATTTGTCTAGTATAAATTTTAAATAATTAATTTTAATTTTTAAAATTTAATATAATTTTATAATTGCAATTGTGCATCCAAACAAAACATGTGTAATTACGTTGCGGCATCCAAACATGACATGTGTAATTACATTGTAATTACACTGTAACAATCAAACATGTCAGTGTAATTACTAGGCTGATAATTACTATCCTAGTAATTATACCAATTTCAATTACTAGGTGGCTTTCCAAACAGACCCTTAAAAGTGTTCTTTTTAAATGGCAACAATTTAGAAGTAGTTATTGGAGAGCAAATGCCCTTTTATTAAGCATCACAGAACGGCGTCGTGTTAAACTAGAACTGGCGTTTCCCTTTTCCCTGTGAGAAGAAAGAAGATCAATTTTGCCGGCGTTGTGCCCTAGAAAATTTAGGTTTCCGGCGATGGAACAACTGAGTGAAGAAGAGAAAAAGGCGCTTCGTGGAAGCAAATTCGCGCCGCTTCCTTCTGCACCTTCGTCTTCTCGTCCTCAATCTAGGTTCTAGAGCTGAAGGGATTGATATTACATAGGATTCGTACTAGTTTGTTATTGATTAATTGATTTGTGGTTGCAGGCTGGCTCATCCAGGAGGACCCGTGAAGACGAATAAGGCAGCAGCTTTAGCAAAATTCCTTGACAGGAAATTGCAGGACCCTAGCGGCTTGTCATCTCTTGATCCTCGTCTCATTGAACTCGCCGTCAAAAATGCTAAACACACTCTTCAAGCCAGTACTATTCTTTTCTTTTGATTTCTTCTTGCACCATTCGATTTATTCTTTTAATTTCTTTTCTTTTAATTTCTTTACCTACGTGTTTATGCACTATGACAGTCCGATATTTACTTCAACTCTTCTTGAATGTGTTGTCTGGCCCTTTTCCAGAATCTTGCATTATAAGACTCAATGTGGTATGCTCGAGGATTTTCACTAAGGGGTAGTGTTTAGGATTTGAACTTGAACCTCAAGATGAATTTGAACCCTCCAACCTCTAGTCTTGTGTGTGTTCGGGGGATTCAAAATCTATATATATGCTAAAAATAAATAAATACCTTATATATACCGTGAAATATTTTGCTGATGGGGTTCAGGTGAACACCCTCGCCCCTCCTAGATCCTCCCCTGGCCTGGCCCGGCCCTTTCTCAACCCCTGTTCGTAGAGGGAACTTGGTGTGCGGTGTGCCAGGCTGCCATTTATAAGATGCACTACGGTTATCAGTACAGCTGTTTACTTCTGCTCTTGTTCATCCAATCATCACTGGTGCTCCCTTTTGCTCTTTAACTTGATATTTTCTGCTGGTTTTTTAATCACATAAATTGTGCTACAGAATCTTGAATAGTCTTTTGTGTTTTACATGATATGCACAATGACATGTGGATCCAAGTATGTGTTGATGATTTTATCCCTTACTACTATTTTTCATTACATCATTACTTCTTACTCCCATTTGAACACTTGAAACGTTCTGCCTGTTTCTTTGTTGGGTCAAGTGAGCTACAGATTCTTGAATACCCTTTTGAGTTTTAAGTGATGCTTTTAAGATTTAAATATGCAATACTCTATCCATACCATAGGTCTCATCGTAAATTTGTAATAGAGCTAACAAAGTCAACTCTGTTGTACCTATGTTGCTACCATGCATCTTCTTGATGCCATTTATAACACTACTTACTTCATCAAAAGTAAATATGCAATACTGGAGATTGCTAACTGCATCACGTATCTCCTTCTGCACCACTGTGTGAAACAGTGGTTCGACTTGGAGAGAGTAGATGTTGTGTATATATATATATATATATGCCCAGATCATAGTCTAGCTAAGTTTTTTGTGTCAATGCATGGAGTATATCGGGAGACTAAGTTCCCAAGTTGGCTTGTAAATGGTGCCATGTACTCTTCTGGTTTTTTGATGTCCTTATTTTAATACAGTAAATATAAACGTATCTTTGGTGATTATTTTTTACCAGGGAACCTAAATTGATGCTGATAAATTAGCATTCGATTTATCATACTTTGGGATTGTGTCCCCTTGTTTTTTGGTATTCATTTGGAAGCTGTGTGTACAGTATACACTTTATTTCTACTACACTGAATGCCATTTATTTTCCAAATGCTGACAAACTTCAAGCTTAGTAGTTAGAACTCTTCCAAAATAATAAACGTTGGCGTGTTTGTGTAGAACCTTGTGATCATAGCAGGTGCTTTTTATCAAAGGGATTAATTGAAGAAACATTAGAATTCTAACTTCCTTACTAAGAAAAACACTTGAATTCAATTTCTTGTGCAAATATACCATTTTAAGCTCTTTTTCAAGTTGAGTAGAACCTGAACATCCTTTAGAAGGCAGTTCAAAAGATACAGTTCTAAGGATTTTCATCTTACAGAAGTGGCATTTGAATCCGTGTAAAAGTGTAGCTTAGACATGAAATTCATCTCAACTACGAACTTAACAAAATTAATTATTGGATGCTGAAAACCAATATTAAAGCCCACATGGCCAGCTGAGGTAGATTATACATGTTACATGTTCCTCTGTATTTCAATAGAACTTTTCAGGTCAAAAGTTGTGTTACTTGATTAGACATTTCAAACTTAATATCAATTTGAGGTTTACTGCTGAAACCAAACCAATAAATAGTATGAATATGATTTTAGATTGTAATGCTATATGAAGTTGCTTAATAGTTGTCAATGAGTAATAGTATTCATCACAAAAGTGTCGTTCATTTGCATGCTATTTTAGTTGGTGTAAAATTAGAATATTGTGATAGAGCATAATTATTCTCTTACAATTTGGAAATGGAACAGGTGGGACATCAAGTAGAGGAAGAATTGTTCAGCATGTGGATTCTTTTGGTGATTCTGAGGTTTTCGATTTGTGATTTCTGTGAAGATGTGAAAGATCTAGCAAGTATTTAAACCTGACTAACTTTGGCACAATCTTTCCAGGAATCTGCTGAAGATGAAGAGACTCAAATATCCGTCCAAAAAAAAGGTAAGAAAAACAAAAAGAGGAAGAAGATGAAGAAGGAGAAACAGCGTAAGGTATTCTATCAATTTACACAGTCTATCTTTCATCTTCTGCTTTCCAAGTTGGTCCTGAATGTGGTTTTTGCCAGAAATTGGAGGAGTCTTCAAATGGAATGGCCAACAAACCTAAAAAGAAGCTGAAACTATGATCTACGTGGGCTTTCAAGAGTTGATGTTGTTAGATTATTGGAGCTTTAAGTAGATAGATGGCATGGTAAGAGTCACTAGTTCAAGATTTTACAGTTGCAGAGGCTAACCACCACATTCCACATTCCACATTCCATCTTGGTTCCTCAAATTGAACTAATTTTTCTTGCTTGGCCAGTTGTGCAATTATTTCGTTCTTGTAGCATTTTACTTTGTGCCATGAGTTTATCGTCAAATTTATAAGCTTTAATGACATTCATAGTTAAAGGAAGTATTTTTTTTTTATAAGATTCCTCAATGTTATCATTTGGTGGTTTAACCTGAGTGCTTTAAGTTGAATAGAGTAAGTTTTGACAAGGAAAAGTTGTCTTCCCAACAACATTTGAGAAAGGAAGCGCAGGGACCTTAGCTGTCTTGGGATGCATATCGACCGGTTCGGTCTGGTTTTGTCTATTACCAATTCGATTTTTGATGTTCGATTTGTAAATATACTAAATTGATAACCAATAAGATATTTATTATGAATTTTTGGTTTTTAATGGTTTGATTGGTTCAACTGATAAGAAAATGCTCCTCATTTTTACTTTTTTTTTTTGCTTTATCTTGTTTTATTTGTTCATATATACATTGTCTTCATTAGGGGTGTCAAAAATAAACCCAAACATAGGTAACCTGCTCAAAATTTTAAGGGTTGGGTTCAAGATAATTTGAATTAGGTTCAATCTCAACCCATTCAAGCCTAACCCCTTTTAAGAGAATCCTCAATTGAGCCCAATTCAATCTTCAACTCGTTTTAAAACTCTTTACTAAGCTATGTTCCTATATTAAATGTATGAATTATTATCTGTTTAACATCTTTTAGGATTTATCTATGCGTTTGTTACTTTTTTTTAAAAATAAATAATCTTGAGCTGAAATTCAAATTGTGATTATAAAAGTTAAATATCACTATGTTAAAGTTATTGAGATTAATTGGGTTAAATTGGGCGGGTCAAGACCCAATCCGTTTCTTAGCCCATTTGAACCCAACCCATTTGAACCTAGCCCATTTGAGCCCAAAGTAATCTTGGGCGGGTCAAGACCCAATTCGATTTTTATTTCAAATATCAAATTTCAACCCAACTCACCCATTTGACACCCCTAGTCTTCATGTATAAAAATCTATATGAATTACAACAAAAGCAAATTCAAATAAGTCATTGCTAAAGCAAATTATAATTATTTTGGTTAAGTAGCAAACCTCTATAACACAAAACTTCTAAAAAGAAAAATATGGTCATTCCACTGTTCACATTGATGGGTAGAGCCGTAGAACTTCTACAAGCCAACAACAATAGAAAGAAAACAACACCAAGACAACGATTATAAAAAGCTAAGCGAATCGATATTCCAATATAAAAAAAAAGGTATAAAATTGCTTTAAAATCATTAAATCAATAACTCAACATCGATAAATATTTTCAATTTGATTTTTATTGGTTAAAGCCATTTTATATACTCCTAACAATTAGTAGAGAATTGAGGGTGTGAAAATTGAAAACCGATAATAAACCCAAAAAATCACTTATGGGTAAATACTTCTTCTTATTTAACATGAGATCTTGGGTTCGAGTTTCTGTGAGTACAAAGTAGCCTTTGTTAGAGAATGTTTTACCCCAATGTGGGATTTGCTGGAGAAGGTCGAATTCGCCCAACCAAACCACCCATTGCTGCAGATTTATGACTTAAGCAACACATACTCTCCATCTCGAACGCCCATATTCAATGACACTGAGACACAGAGAGAAGGAAAAAAGAAAAGAAAAGCTGAGCAATGGAATCTGAAAACTGCTCAAATAGACAGAGAAAGAGAGAGAAGAAGAGGGTGATATTAAAATAAGCCATAGTAAGGTAACTCAATCAACGATAAAAAGGGTATCAACAATAAAAATGTACGGAACTGCTAATTACAACAGAATAGAAATACCATACTTATTAAAGAAAAACATAAGTATTGCTAAATATATCCTCTAGCAAAATCTGGGAACTGCGTCCTTTCAACAAAATCCTTCAACTTGAAATCCTTCAACTTTCTTATTATTGTTTTGTGATACAATTCAAAGTAATCATGAAACCCAATTATTGAATGTCTTAATTATATGCCGTTGTTGAGTACAAAACAACAAATTAGTGAGTAAAGTATGTAACTTAAAAAAATCATGTAAAATTCAAAAAGGCATTCAAGATTCTGTAGTACAATTTATGTGATTAAATTAATAAATCATTCAAAACTTTGTTATTAAAAAGATATTCACTCTTCCGAAGGGCAGACCACACATTCAAGAGTTTGAAGTAAATATCAACAGAACGGAATACCCTTTCAAACAAGACTCAGTCTCTCGAGATTGAGGATCTGCCACAGATACTCCTTCCAGAATCAAGTTTGGCGCATGACTGGGTAACAAAAGTGCAGCTAATCTTGTTAGCACATAAACGATGGTGAAATGACATTTCAGACCAGTAAAACATAATGTGATTTATCCAAATGCAGGACTTACTAATTGCAGCTTGGAATATAGGTGCACAAATTTTTTCGTGCGATTAGCTGAAATTCAAAGTCAACCAAGATATAACCACATGTTTATGTTTGTATCCCTCTGGAAAATTGAATAACTATTTATGTTTGTATCCCTCTGGAAAATTGAATAACTATCTCAAATCTTCAGATTAACGAACTAAAAGGACAATAATATGAAATAATATAAAGTAGAAAAAATTGAAAAGCGTAATCATGAAACAGTTAAATCATTATGAAACTAAACCACTTCTTTAGTTGATGGTTTCTGGTAGCTAGGAATTGAATCTAGCAAGGAAGAAGACAACTCAATTTACAAATAAAAGTCAATAAAAGTGTTTGTTTAAGAAATTTTTGATAGGGGTGATATGTAGACGAGATGGATCTTCTTTCATTTATAAGGGTCCTAATTAAATTGAGTCAACTAGTATAATAACATTTAATTATTTATACATTGATGAGAATTAGTTAAAGATAAAAATTAGTCATTTGTTTGCAAACATTACATTTGATCTTATTGTAGATAATTTTATTTATTAATATAAAATTTTAATTAGTTTAATTTAAGGTTCTAAAATATTCTATTGTCAAAAATTTGAACAATTAAGAAGTTGGATAATTTCATTTTATTGTTTTGATTTCTCATTTGGTGTTCGATATCTATATTAAAGTCCGACTAAATTCGAATTTATGCCGGAGATAAAAAGAATTATTACTACGCTCTAAATATTATTATATATATATTTCTATCTATTATATAGAAATGTGAAGGATGGACGACCAAGGGCAAATAAGTTATTTAACTTAATCAAATATCTATACTTCTTGCTACACGTGTCACTCAATGGCCCAAGATCACTTTATTACCACACAAACACTCAACTTTATTCTAGATGCATCCTCTCCATTGGATTTTTCTTTCTTCTATATTATTTAATTAATTAATAAATAGAAACTATTTCTTCACACTGATGGTGGTAGCAATTTCAGGTTAGTATTTTTCTCAGTTTTTACTTTAAGCTTTCTCTTGAATCTCTTCATTTTTTTTTTAATTTAATGGCTGAATTCATAGATGTTTTTTCATACTTGACCTATTTAATACTATGCTTTCCTTTCTTTTATCGTCTCAACTGGGTGATTCAACTTTAGGAATGCTTTTATCTTAGTGTTGATATGATATTGAAAAGTTAATGTGGTATTAGTGTTGATATTGAAAGTTAAATGTGGTAGTTATTTCCTTCTTTTTCTAACTAATACTTTTAAATTTTTTTACTTTATTTGATCAAAATAACAAGAACAATGAATAAATAGCTAACGACATATTGGAAAGGTGGTAGAGTTTCCGAAGGTTATTATGTGTAAAATGCAGTTGTGATATTTTGGGGGAAGATAATGATGAATAAAACGTTATATTCTAGGTTGTTTGGACTCTTCAAAAATATTACCGCAAACATGTCGAATTCTCTAAAAATGCACTACTTTTGGAGGATCCAACACACTCTTGACGACATTTTTTAAGAATCTGATCAACATAGGTTATAGTAGTCATTTGCTCTAGGATTCTTTTTGAATTTTGAAAAATGGCTCTTGTGACAATTTGGAAAAGGGAATATATAAGTACTTTGTTTCAAATTAATACTTGTGACATTTTGGAAAAAGGAACATGTCTGACATTTTCAATTTCTATGTTATATTACTTCAACTTTGTGAACTATTCAAATTTTGAATTCGGTGTTCAATCAAATATATGAAGATAAGGTCTCAATTTATATGACGCTAAAACATTATTAAACAATACAATTCTAAATTATGTGTTCTGTCAAATATTGTTATATAAAATGAAGCAAAGAAAGTAATAAAGTAGGAATATTATATTAAAAATCTCCATCTCCTCATGCATATGAATTAATATCATATACACTTGAACTTCTCACAGTTGTCTGATAAAGGATTTTCCTTTTCTTGATGGAAGGTGCATTTCAGTTTCTCTGAAACAAGTCCAGTGTTTCACATGGTCATTAGTAATTTCTAATTGATCTGCTCTGGTATATAATAAATAATATGCTCATGAAATCAAAATACAAATATAGATGCACCCTTCTTATCTATCTTCAGGTACAAACTCGAGATTGACCAAACATAAAAATAATGGAGTCAGAAAAGGATACTGGCATGTACCAATTGCCTCGAAACTTGAATATGAAGAGGAAAGGACGTGGTTGTGCATTAGGCGTGTCAATTTACCTATGGCAAATCAAGATTCTGCCAGTGTAAACATATGTAAGTACCTTTTATAAAAAATATAAGTGCCTTTCTATTCGTTTTCAGTTCTTTTATTTTGTTGTATGTGCTATACTGTGTGAAAGAATAGTTGGAGAATCTCTAATCGGCGGATTAATTTTTTTTTTATAGAAGAATATCAGGCTTAAGGAATATGTCCTGTTCCATTAAAGTTTCACTCTGTCTCATGAATGTTGGTAAACTTAATAAATTGTATCCGTGGAGTGATTCTTGATTCTGAATCTGCATGTTCAAATTTGTCTGATTTAATCTTGGATTTGATGTTGTCTATCCTTAAATTGTGGAGGAGATAGAAGTTTTGTCTTCTCCTGGTTAGACCTTGCCTAAATACCTTAGATTTCTATTTCGTCATAATTGACTTAGGAAGGGTAGTTGATATATTTTTAGTGGTGTTAAAAAGAAGAAAAAATTATTATATATTTTTTCATT